TGCAGCGCTGGGTCGACTGGAAGGAAGAAGCGCTCGAGGTGGTATCGCTTTAAAAAGATGTTGGTCGTTGTGAGCGCAAAGCACGCAAACCACACGGCAAAGTGCCAGTTGGTCGGGATTGTTAAATTTACTGGCGCGCCGCATAGAAAAAGAGAGGGAGAAAATCATGGATCCTATTTTATCATCTTTTTTTGCGCGTTGAGCAGCCTTGGGCATTTCCTGGATTACGTAATCTCGCTTGGTTGATTACGTCATACTAGCGAGGTCAGTAAAACGCCAGCCAATCAGAACGGGGCATGAAACGCCAGTACTGCGCTGCATGGCCAGCTCTGATTGGACAAAATGATGGATTTCCCAGGGGCTAGATCAACGGCCATACAAAATTCAAGTTAATCATCCATGCAACATCATTGGACAAAATGGAGCGGTTTTCCATGGCCGTGAACGCCGCAATCATCATGCGGTCCACGGCGACCGCACGTGGCGTGACGTGGTTCACGACCGGCCGTGGGAGTCGCCTCAGCGACGCATGAAGCTGAGACGCGCGCCTCTGCTACCAAGCGCTACAGCCTGCGCCCCTCAACACAGCTGCTCCTGCTCAGCCCCGTGCGCTCGTCGCCTCCCGCTCTACCCTCGCTCACGGCGACTCCCGAGAAGACGCCAAGCCGCGCGTGAGCGCCAACCACCGAGGCGGCGAGCCGATCGCACAAGGTACGTAGAGCGACACCCATCGCGCTGCCCGTGCTTGCTTGCTCACATCAGTGTTGCTCTGGTAGCGCATTGTCCACCTGCGCAAGGGTCCTTCGCGGCAACCGGGCTCTTCAAGATTGACCACCGTTGGCCCACGGCAGATAGCTGGGTAGCTGAGTCGTTGACCCGCGTCGCGGACGCCCTGCGTTGGAAACGATGCCGGTAGCAAACGCGTGGTCAGCGAAGGCGCGCCGAGGTCGAGCGACAAAGCGACAACGAGACGCGATTGAAGCCGCTGGGTAGTATTGCATGTATGTAAGTTAATGAGATTGCTACATTCGTGAAGGACAAGACTGACACGAGTGCGCTCGAGAAGGCGCTGTCTAAAGGCGACATACCGGAGTCAACGGAGGCACAAGGCGCACCTCGACAGCATGCCGGCGGTGCCCGTGTTGCTTAGGGCTCGCAGCGCAGTGCAGCTTTGGCGCGGAATCAGTGCGCTGGCGCATTTTGATGCTATACGAGCAAGCGTCGTAGGCGCCCATTCAGGCGATGGTGGTAGCTTGGTGGTGGCGACCAGGTAGCGCGCCGCCAGCAGCGGCACGTGGGGTGGTCTGTGCTGACCAGAGCGACACATGTTGGCTATGCAAGCGCGCACCAGCGGACTATGCTAGGGAGATGACGATTTGTAGCCTCCAAGCCGGAAGAAGCGATGCCAGCGGCGCCGGCATGGGTGGCCAGTGCAGCGCCATCCGCGCGGACCGCCCGCGCGGCCTGGAGCGCCCGACGCAATAGAATGCAGTGCAGTACCCTTTGCCATCCTATAGCCAAGGTCCGTATTTGATTTCACAGGATATAAAGTCTCAATAGAGCATCCGCCAGTAAACGTTAAGGGCCCAATCAAACGGCACTTCGCCAACCACACCTACAAAATCGTCCAACATAGTATAGACAATCGTGTA